ACACAATTAACTTTAATTCCACGTCTCCATTTATACTTATATGTAATTTTACAATTATCATAAATCAATCCCTTATAATTTACAGATGATTGTCAATTTTAATTGGGCAAAATAATTATCATTATTATCAGATAACTGTAACAATTAGTGATATCATTGAACTTGAATGAAAATTTATATGTATTGTAATTTAGTAGTAAATTTTTAATTACTTAATTTAATATTCAACAATTGATATAAAAAAAAAAAACTATCAACAGATTTACCTTTAAGCCTTTGTGATATTGATATTATCAATTTACTTTTCTTACAATTAACTGATTTGTTGTATAATTAAAAGTTTGATTGTTGTCTTTGATTATTATTATTATTATTATTATTATCATTAACTATTATCATTGATACAGATATTGATTAGCTTTAATTTTAACATTTGATTGTAAATTGTTATCAAATTTGAAATAACCACTATCATCATAATGTTTTTGATTTGTTGATGATGATTAAAAGGTTTCAGGCAATTTAATTGTTGTTAATATTGTAAATACTTGTCAAATTTGATTGTAATAGTTTTCTGATGATCATAATGATAATAGTATTTAATTAAATGATGCTGATGATGATATGAAGTGTGCATAATTTGTTAATTAGCCTCAAGATGATCGTGAAGACAATCAAAAAATATATTATCTAATTAAAGTATAATTCAAATTGTTTTAACTGTCTGATTGCTAATAAACAATAAACAGGTAACAATTAACAATTAACAGTCTCTTTTACAGTTGTAATCAAATTAATCAGTTAACAAGCTCAACCAATAAAGTAAAATAAAAAAATAATAGTTACAATTTTAATTGTTAATCTAAATTGTGCTCACTGCATATTATTATTAATCCAGAACAATTTGATTTATTTTAATCAAGATAATAATCAATTGATTTGATTTGAGTTTGATTCTGATTCTGATTGAGCAAAAACAAAATCAATTGATTCCAATAATCACAATTAACTTTTTTCCAAATGAAAATAATTTCGTAACGACTAAAGTAACAATTTCGGTTCACAATTAACTTTGTGATCATCAATTTATTGTTTAGACAGTTAATTACCTCTAAAATTAGGCTAAAGTTGATCCAATTATAGATAATTGTAAGAAGATAATTTGAATAATCAACTGATGAGAATGAAAAATTTTAGAACAAAATTTAAAAGAAACTTTTTTGTTCAGAGCCACCTAGTGGATCGAATTTGAACTGAGCGTTCTTTTTGTTAAATTTTTTTTTCTCTTCTTTTGTTAAACTGTCAACAAAAGTTTCTTTCATTATTACAGGTATCATGATACTTGGAAGACGAAGGATGATAAGGATGATGATAGAAGGTATTTTTTTCTGTAAGTTTGATGATCTAACAAGAAACTATTGTTAATATAAATGAAGAAAAAAAAGTTCTAAGTGTAAACTTTGCGTGATGAATTTGTATCTTTTTTTTGGGAGAAAATGAAAAGAAAATGTAATTATCATCAATTTCTATCATCCTTCATCTTTACCTTTCTCTGTTTTTTTTTGGTGATCGAAACTTTTGACAATCAACTGATCATCTCAATGTCTCCGTTTATTATATCCATTGGTCTAAGTGGGAATGAAATTTATCGTGATTGATTAAGCTCAAAGAGATAACAATTTACTGATCAAATTGATGATGATAATGATGATGATGATGCTTTTATCATCTCTTGCCTTTGTGAAAACATCAACGAATCAAATGATCAACAGAAACTATTGATTCTCAATGAAGATCAGTAATCGACCGCCATTGAAGATTAATGATTAATCTGTTTTCTTTTTACTTCTTCTGATTTTCATTCATCTAATTGATCTAATACAATTTACTCATTCAATTGATTACCTTCATTATTAAAATTTTATGAGTTACTTTATTTGGAAAGAAAATTAAATTTAGCTAACAATTTAATGAACCGATTTAAGGGTAAATTTTTAATATATAAGTTGGTTGATTATAATGAGCATCAGATTTGATTTGATTTTGATTTTGTTTCATATTTTTTTTTATTTTCAGTTGATTATCATCAATAATAATCAGTTGATTTCATTTTTCTTATACTAATTCAAGTGAAATTGTTAAGAATCAAATCAATTGATTTAGAAAGCTTTTCTCTTAATTTTCTGATTCTTTTATTGTTGAATTTAATGTTTAATTGAGTTGAAATGAAATCAAACAATTAAGGCTGGGTCAATATCTATTGATTTGAATTGAACTTTTCAATCTCAATTTAATAGGTAAGATTATATTAGATTATCTGGAAAATTAAATGAAAAGTAATCAAAAACACTTCAATCATCATAAGGACAATTTACCTTTCGTCTTTTAATCATCATCATCATCATTATCATCATTATATATATCATATCATATCATGTTTGATGATGATGATGATAATCAACATCCCTTGTAAACTCGTTGTGATAATATTGTTTAATGATGTGATATGTTTATAGACCAGCATCATGATGATAAACAATTAAATCCAATGAACCATTAAATTAAATATGTCGATGATAAAACATTGACTGAGAATTGATTGTTGATTGTTGATTGTTGATATAATTATCATTTTATGATGTTTTACCTTTTGTTTTTATGATTAAAAGTAAAACAAACTCCTAATAATAGTTGATGTTTGTTGATAGTTGATCATAATCATAATCGTAATCACAATCATAATCATCATTATCATCATGATTAAGATGAAGATGATAATAGTTGAGTCTAGATAATTGTTAAAGTGCCTTAAGATATGATTTAATATATTGGAAGAAGAAGAAGAAGAAGAAGAAGAAGAAATTAATTCGTTGTCTTATTTTCCTCCTTTGTATTAATATTATTTTAATAGTAAAAGAAGCTACTGTTTATTATTATTATGATTAGTTGATTGTTGTTGTTGTTGTTGTTGTTGATGTTGTTGCTGTTTGATTGTTGCTACTGTTTTAGATTAATATCTATATGATTAGTAATCTTTTCTCTCTTCATCTACCTGTAGCCTCACCTTAATCTCTGTGTTACTTGTTGATATTTAAAGGTGAGGTTTAGATTCAGTAGCTACAAGAAAGAAACAGAAACTTATGTTAATCATAATAATAATGATCCATCTAATTCAGTAGCAATTTAGCCTCTGGCTTAATCACGAAATTGATATTTATCTGAGTGAAGAATGTTAATTGCGGTCCAAAGATGATGATACAAGAGAAGAGAAATGAGAAAGAGAGAGAGAGAGAGAGAGAGGAAAGAAAGAAGATGAAGATGAAGAAGATGATGATTGCGAGAAAGAAAGAAAAATCAGAAGCTTCTCATTCAAATATCGGTAATCATTTGTAACGCTCTTCCAAAGGGAAATCATGATGATGATTATCATCATCAAGAGAAAGAGATAGAGAGAGATGAAGATAAAGATGATCAGTGTTATGTCTTTGGCCCAGGGTCCAGTTCTCTCTCATTTTTCGGTAGCTCTCAATTTCCATCCGCCCCTTTTATCTTCATTTTGAGCTTCTTCTTTTTTCTCATCATCAATAAACCTATGATAAGATTGTGATGAAGATTAAAGCCTGAGGCCTAAATTAAACAACAAGAGACAACACATCACAAGAAACTTTCATATTTAAGACATAATAATATCAACCTTTCCCTTATCATCATCTTCATCTTTCTCTTTCTAACTCTCACTCCCCCTTTTCTCCTCCTTTTTTCCTCTTCTTCCCACTTTATGCCTCATCTTCATCATCATCATCATCATTGTATCTTTCCCTTTCTTTTAATATTAAAGGTTTCATGATGATGATGATGATCTTACAATCAAAATTTTACCTTTACATCCAGAGGATGATGATGATAATCAAGAAATATAAATAAGTTCAGAAATGATATTGAAGATCAGACTTAATCATTATCATCATAATCTTATAGGTTAAATTGTTATCAAGATTAAGACTTTGATTTGAATTTTCATTTCTCTCTCTCTTGGTTATGATAATTAACAATCTCTATCTGATTGTTGTTTTCATCAAAACAATCTGGTTAGTTTTTAATTAACTCTTTTAACCAATTGTTTGATTGACCTTAATTTGGTTAATCTTTGACTTTTGATTGTTCAATTTAATGGGATAAAATATTGTTGATTCTTAGTTAAATTAAATTGCGAACACTTCGCCTTTTAATCAATCAATAATAATGATAATTTGTTGACAATTTAGCTTTTTCCTCTTTTCTCCAGCTTTTAATATCATTTATACTTGTCTAATTTAATTGCTTCCTTGATTGGATAGAGAAGAGAAAATAAAAGTCGCTCGTTAATTGTAATTAAAATGAAACTAATTGAGAACAAAACAAAAATCTTCATTGTTGGTTTGTTAAAGTGCAAAATTGGTCCAAACAATTTAACAATGAATGAAAATTGATGCTAATCAATCAACTAATTTACTTTGAAAACGTGAAAAAACAAAATGTATGTTAAATTGTTATTATGGTTTAACCGCAGGTCGTCCGACGATTAGTATTGTTATTATAATCAAACTATGATTAACTCCAATGATTAACAATCAACCTTATTATGAATATATGATTAGTGTTGTTGATCATTTCATTTTCTCTATGGGTTTCGGTGATTAAATATTGATTGGACTTTGTTATTGATTAACTTGGATAATTTTTTCAATATTCAAGTTAATCATAATCTTGGACACCCCACCAACCAATAGGTAAGTTGATAGTCGATCAATTTTTTTTATGATGATAACCCAGAAGATTAACCATTGTTATTAAGAAAAGGAAAACACAATCTTAATCATTAATAGATCATGTAATTGATGGCGATGGTGTTGGTGATGATGATAATCGACATATTCTTTGAAGATAAACACCCAAAAATATTGTTTCGAAATTTAAACCATCCTGTCAACGGAAAGTATCAGTTAGATTGACGGATCAACATTAAATTGTTCAATTTGATGATATAACCTGAGAATCCCCTTGGTGTTAATCATTCAATTTTTCATCAAACTACCGATTCCACCTCCACATACACACCTTGCACTTGAGCTTCTTTGTTCACAATATTATAAACAATTTTACTGGATTAGATTATCCTTCATGTCTTTTAGTTAATCAACAATAATCCATCAATTGATTAGTTTATCATGTTATGAATTTTCACTTTTATTCACATTGTCTCATCAATTTTGACTGAAAACTTCATTGCCTCTTGATCATCGCAATTAAAAGGTAGTTGCATTCATGATGAAATCAGTTAAACTATCCAATTAACAATATTTATCCTCTTTTGATCAATCGATTTCTGTAAAAAAAAAATATAAATAGAAGCGATTAGTTAATTTAATATGAAACAATCAAATTCAATTGCATGATGAAAACAAAGTGGTGATAAATGTTCATTGATAAAATGTTAAATTGAATACTATTATTAATACAGTTCGTGATAGCTTGATTTCGTTGCTTACCTCTAATCAATGGTTTTTATAGTAATAGTGATAATATTAGCATTATTATTATTAACTAATCATGGTGATTATATCAATTAAGCTATAATACCTTGATTGATTAATTTATCACGCAAAGTTGGCCCATCATTTGATCTGTAGCAATCGACTAAGGCCTTTGGTTTGGTAAGAAAAAAACAGTAACAGCAATATAATAGTTTTCCCTTGATGGTATTGATGATGATACTTAAAAACAATCAGGCCAACAATCAATTGGTTTACCAATAAGAAAATTTCAATTATATCTCTTGAAAATAACATATGATTCGTTTGCTTCCCAGTGATTGATAATCAAATGATGATAATGATGATTACTATTATTTCACGTTGTCCCAGTTGATTATTCAATGTTTCCTGGATCTTTAAAAGGCCAATTTTCAAGGTGTATACATTATCCAACGATTGATTTATTGGAATACAATTCAACAGTAATAATAATCATCTTTTGCGTGTTACCAACAATAATCATCAAATTACCATTAAAAGTAACACTTTATAACCTTATCCATCCAATCATTTTCAGCAATTTACTTTACCTGACTTTGTACCTTTATTTTTGTACTAAAAACTCATCAGCTTATTTAAATTTTTACTGCAACAGTTATAGTAATATAACAATTTTCATTACCATCCAAAATCCTTATCATCATTATTAGCATCATCAACAACAACAGGAGGATCATCATCATGATAATTAGACGATATTATTACAATTCTTCTAACTCATTAGCCAATTACCATAATAATGATACTCATTATCATCATGGAGATTTGATTAATATCTACATGTATTATAAGCCTTTTGGTTTAATCCTTATCCATAAGAGTTAACTTGTTACAGGTAAGTTACACAGAGTAATGCATCATAAAATTTAGATTAACCAAATCATTGGATGATAATGATGATGACGATGATGATGATGATGATGATGATGGTTAATATTATCTGCAACCGTATTACCCTGGATAAATGAGAAATTAGAAAATAAAGAAACATTAAGAAAAATGATAACAAATATATTATAAGAAATAAATGAAGTTCAATTTTTTTCATCATCATCTAAATCTCCTCCTTCTTATCCTCCTTTTATTACAGGTAGCATATATAAACTAATATTAAATTGATATACTCGCACAGTAGCAGCAATCAAAATAAGATTGCTACCTTTACGGAATAATAGAAAGATAGAAAAAAAAACAATTCCCTGGGAACAAATAACTATCTCTAAATGATTATGGATCGTGAAACCATTATATTCATTTGAATTGTATACAAATTATTAGGAACCTAGGATCAGATGGATTTAGCTGCAAGGCAACTTTATTTTCACTTACTTTCTCTCTCAATCTCTCTGTGTTTGAATTATGTTTGCTGCTACCTTACTTTAGCATTAAAGGTAAGTTAGTGAGGAAATGAAGATAAGAGATGATATAAGATGATGCAAGATGATGCAAGATGATGTAAAGAGAGAGAGAGAGAGAGAGCAAAGAAAGTGTAAGGGCGAGGCCTAGTCTCTTTTCTTTATTTTCTCTAACATCGTTTTCTCACTGATTCTTCCAGGTAGATCGGTTGCAGGGTAAATTATATTACTTACAATCTCTTACCTTTTTTGTTGTTGTTGTTGATGATTATTATGATGATTCTCCCCTGTTTTTTTCTTCATCTCTTCGTAATACAAGAAGCTCGGGAGAGAGGCGAATCGTGAGTTATAATGATGAGTGGTGAAAAAGTACAGGCCTTGCCACAAGTTTCGTCTGGACGACAGAAGTTAGAAGATGAAAAAATAAAGAAGCAAATAAGAGTGAAGAAGGGAAAGGCCATTTAACCAGTCGATCGGTAGCATCAATTATCTTCCAACATGATTTTCTATCCATTTCTCTTTACCTTAATTTCTTATTCCCTATGCTTTATATCTTTACCTTGCTGATGATAATGATGATGATGATGATGATGATGGTGTTCATAATCATTTTCTTTTTGGCTTCTGTTTTCTTCTTCATCAGGAGTGAAATTAGGGGCACCAAGATTTGCTTCTTCATTTTTTTCTCTTTTACTCAATCTACTGTTTATCTTCACTTCTCTGCTATATATTTTCCATTTGATAATGTCCTCCATCATGGGAGCTTATCCTTGGGCTGGGCTACTTTTTTCCTTAGGTCGTGACATGATTTTCGCTGGGCTTTCCAAAAATAGCTCATCTCTTTCTTTATTATATATTAGAACATCTTGTTTCTTCCTTCCTTTCCTCATTCCCTCTCTCTCTCTTCTTGAGTCTTCTGAGTTTTAGCATTTTGTTTGGGCGCTTTTCATTTCGTTCTACAATCTTTTTGACTCTCTCACTTGGTCTTGGCTTTTCTCCACTATCGGCAATACAGTAACAAATGTGCCTTACCTATCCCGCTGTTGCAGGTAAGGTCAGCAAATTGATTACATCAAATTAAATCATCGACATGGTTCACTGATTCACCTGAGGAGGAAAGAAACGTGAAGAAATATTAATAGTAATAAAACGTGAAGGTCCAGTAGAAAGTTGAAAGAAACGTAAATATAATGGTCAGTAAAATATTTACTATAATTTTCGAGAGGAATTTCCGTTCTCCTGGGTAATTGTTTATGTAACTATGATAATGATGATTATGATTATGATACTGGTGATAGTGTTAATAATAATCAAGACCATGTTAACGACGATATACACAAAAAGCCTCACCCTTCAACTTGGGTTACCTGAAAAAAAAAAATATAATGAAAAGATAATGAGAAAAAGAAAATGAAAAGAGAGAAAAACAAATTAGCCAAAGCTCAATTATTCAGTATCTTATATCATCATATAATAACTTATTACAAGAATAAGATGATGGCGAAAAGAAGAAAACAAAATTTTACTTACACTGTATTTTATTTTAATTATTGTTATTATCATTTAGGGATTGGTAAGAAGCTGAAAAGGAAGAAACAAAAAACATATCCTGATCAACAACTTAGCAAAAAGAAAACAGTAGCTTCGGCTTTTAACTGTCCATTTGTCTGACCTTAAATGGACTGCACACATAACTACATATACAACTTACCTTGGATTTTAATACATACCTTTTAGTTAAGGTAAGAGAAGAAATTACAATCTTGTAAATAGGCGAAAACCAATCGAGAGTTAATGTGAAACAAACACTACACTTATTATAGATTAGCTTGTCAACACATTACAACAAAATGGTCAAACAAGTATAACAGTCAATCTTAAATTGACAAGTTACAAAATGGATTGTATAGAAATCAACAGGTATTAAGAAGTAATTATTTCTCCAGGTAACAGGTCTCTTCCTTTTTCTTTTTTTTTTGCTTCTATAATCCATGTAATATGAAAGGTTATTACAGCTTTGGTAATTGATTTCTTTTCTCTTCTTGGCTTCAATCTTTCTCTTTCTCCAGCGACAGTTATAATACATCTTGAGAACTGTTAATCTGTAACCACAAATTAGCTTAACCAATTATCCATCCGAATAAATTTATTGTGTTTACACAACAGCACATTAAATGACCTGGTAATGTAGTTTAACCACTTCAGTTGTCAAAATAATTATGATTACCAACAGGATGATTATGATGGTGAAGGTGATAAAGGTAAAGAGTTAAGTAGATAGACACACACACACACACACACAGTAGTAGATATAAGATATAAATCAACCATTATCACGTTTAATCTGACATCTTGATGGGAGAAGTAAATAATTTAACCATGAAGGAAGGAGATTGAAGAATTAAATTTTCCAATTTTCTCTGACTAATTGATTGGAGGAAAAAGTAAATTCTGTCAACTTAAGAAAGGAAGCCAAAATCATCCATAAGCCTAAGAGAAGGAGAGAAACAATAAAGTAAAAAGAAATCAATTGTTACATTAATTGGAATCAAAAGTAATTGAAAGATAAAGTAAATGGATTAGAAAAGAGAAAATGAAAAATCGTGATCACTGGAGAACAAATCAACAAATTAAACAAATTGTTCTAAAAAAATGGCGATTAATTATTAAAGAAATTAAAGTAACAATTAAAGTGTCAACTCGTTGAAAGGGATTAATTTAATTTCGATTAGAAAAAAAATTCTTTCGATAGAGAAAAACATGTTTTCGATAGTATCGATTCACTTTCGATTCTTCGATTTTGTTTACCTTTTCTTGTGTTTCTATTTTTGAAAATTTTTTATTCTCCTTTTTAAATTCGCCATTTGATTAATTTATTTATTTAATTCTTCTAATTATTTGTGTTCTTAATTATTCTTAATAATTTAATTTATGTGCTTGTGAAAGAATAAGAAATTATAAGTTGTCAAGTTGTCGTTCTCTTGTATTTGTAACCGTTTTTCGGTTGTTGCATGTGGTAGATTCTTTTGGTTTAGTGAACGATTTTACAAGTCACATTTTTCTTATTCGAAGTCCTTATTAGCTCTTAATTGTTATTTTAGTTGTGATAAATTGAACTTTTCTACAATGGGACCTAAGAAACGACAAATTTCACCTTCACCTTCAACCGATTCACCGGTTAAAAGTAAAAAAAGTACGACAACTAATGAAAATGAATCTACCGATTCTATGAAAGATGATAATTTGGTTACATCTTCCAGTGTTGATGATGTTAAAAGTGAGGCAAGTTTAGTACCTCATGAAAGATTATTTCAAGAGATTAATAAATCTCGTGCTGCTGTTGGTTCTTCTATTGAAGATTTTAAGTTCAACAAAAAACGTGTACGAATGTTGAGTGATTGTAAGATCGCTTCAGATGATTGTGGCGCTATCCTTTATTGGATGTCTCGAGATGGTCGAGTTGAAGATAATTGGGCATTATTATATGCCCAAAGACTCGCACTCAAGTTTAAAGTACCTTTACATGTGTGTTACTGTCTTGTTCCAGTGTTTCTTGGTAAGTTATCTCAACTTTTTCGAGCCCAATATCATTTCAACTTGATGTTTATCCTCGCATTTTATAAACGAAGCAAAGATTCTAACCTTTTTCTTTTTCTTTTATTTTTCTCTTCCGTTTTGTTTTCATTCTATTCTATTCTATAGATGCCAGTATTAGAGGATTTCACTTTCTTCTTGGTGGCTTAGAGGAGGTTGAATCTGATCTACTTGCAAGGAACATTCAATTTCATTTACTTCTTGGCGAACCTCCTAAAGCTGTACCTCAATTTGTTCGAGAAAATAACATTGGTGGTGTTGTTTGTGATTTCGCTCCTCTCAAGGTTCCCATGAGATGGGTTAATGAAATTCGTGATAAATTACCGGAAGATATTCCATTCTGTCAAATTGATGCTCATAATATTGTTCCCTGTTGGTTTGCCTCGGATAAGCTTGAATATGCTGCTCGAACCATTAGACCAAAGATAACCAACAAATTACCTGAATTTTTAACTCATTTTCCACCAGTTATTCATCATCCCTATTCATCTGATGTTAAATACGAGAAAGTTGATTGGGTTGCTGCTGAAGCATCTCTACAATGTGATAGATCAGTTAAAGATGTTGATTGGATTAAACCAGGTTATAGAGCAGCGATTAAAATGTTATCAGATTTCGTTGAGAAAAAGATTCGTTGGTATAATGATAAAAGAAATGATCCAAGTCAAGATGTAACATCGAATATGTCACCTTACTTTCATTTTGGACAAATTGCCCCTCAAAGAGCAGTTTTAGGTAAAGAAAACAATCAACTAATGAATAACAAAAAGCACAGTAATTTAATCAATTTGTTTATTATTATCGATTAATTTTCAGTTGTTCAACAGTACAAAAAGAAGTACAAAGAAGCCGTTGAATCTTGGGTTGAAGAGGCTGTTATTAGACGGGAATTAGCTGATAATTTTTGCTTCTATAATCCTAATCATGATTCGATTAAAGGTGCCCCAGAATGGGCACAGAAAACTCTTAATGATCATCGAAAGGATAAACGTCCATATGTTTACAGTAAAAAAGAGTTCGAAGAGGCTTTAACTCATGATCCACTTTGGAATGCATGTCAAAAACAATTGACTCGTGATGCTAAACTTCATGGTTATATGAGAATGTATTGGGCGAAAAAAATTCTCGAATGGAGCGAATCTCCTGAAAAAGCACTGGAAATTGCAATTTATCTGAATGATAAATTTGAACTTGATGGTCGAGATCCGAATGGTTTTGTTGGCTGTTTATGGTCAGTTGGTGGTATTCACGATCAAGGTTGGGCAGAGAGACCAATTTTCGGTAAAATTCGTTACATGAACTACGAAGGATGCAAAAGAAAATTCGATATCAACTCTTACATGGCAAAATATAAAACGTAAGTAAATTAACTTAACAATTAAAGGAATCAAATTCTGACTAAGATTTTCATTTTTCTTTTCCCTTTTCAGGATCTCAGCAACTTCTAACCCTTGGACTGCAAGCAAGAAGAAAAATAAGAAGTAAACTTATTTTTTTAATGATCTCTCGAAATGTTAACTTTTCTAACAAATACTCAAATCCAATTTCAATCAATTTTTTATTCATTAAATTTATACTTTGGAAATCAATCAGCTCATCTTGCTCATTTTGTTCAACTTTTAATTATCGGCTCGAATTAACTAATTATTGCATTTGCTAAACATAAATTGCCTTTCCTTTTGAATTCTATGCAGGGGCTCAGTTAGTTCGTTCGGAAATTTCGACCTCAGCTTATAAATTTAATTTTCAAAGTTGGCAGAACTGAAAAAATCCCACTGATGCACTTTATTGAATGGAAGAAAATCAAAATGATAATTAAGAAGCAAAAATAATATGAATTACTCAGTTTGCAAACGTTGGAATTGCAATAATAACCGTGAAAACAATAGTGACCAACGAAGATATAAACTCAGGTGTAATCATGAAACAACCACCACAAGAAAATCCAAGATCCTTTCTATCAATACGATTGGCAAACAATGTAACCTAATTGAAAGACAATTAAATGTTTTAGAAGCCAAATTGAAAGTCAATCACCATTAACTCACCTCATTTGATATTTCATATGATTTGATAACTTTACTATCAAATAGCAATGAGTAAATGTTTGGATATGATTGAACGGATAGTAAATGAGCTTCAACAATTGGATAAATAATGTAAATTGTTTTCACCAATGAAAAGAAAAGTCTAATTATATAATAATACCTAACGACGATGGTAAAGTCTTTCGTATGATAAACATAAATGTTTGAATAAATATTTACAATTAAAAAGAAAGTGTTATTAGAGAAGACTCCAAATAAACATGGATCCATGAATACCCTTAATTTAGTCACTAAATTGTAACATCATTAAACTCCAAGCGAATTGACTTGATCCGATCAAATAAGTTATGGTCGTTTAAATGATTATCAATTGATGAGATTTGATTGTTGATGAAATGATAAACTGTTTGAGCGATTAATGAACAATCAATGATAACCAATTCTTGTAAAAAGGCGTTGGTCTTGAGAATAAATCTCCGTATGATTATCGCATGATAGGATAGTCCAATTTCTGTCGAGGTCAAATTATCATCACCACGAATCTTAAAAGATAATAGATAATAATCATAATCAATATAATAAGTTGAATATAAGAATATGTCATCGAGAACTAGAATTAAATGAGTAAAAAGGATAACTGATTGATAAAGTTTACGTTTACGATTAAAATATTGAACAGTTTCACCGTCACGATCAATGCTCAGTTTTATCCATTGGGAGCTAATTGTTGAGATAAATTGTCGAGTGAAATAGAAATGAAATATTGTGAATGTGAAAATATCAGTGAAAGTGTAAATTATCTGTTGAAGGTTAGTTACAACTTGTATTTCCATTGGTAATTTACTCAATTTCAAGCTGATTCCAGAATTGAAAAGTGATAATACCAACATCATGATTATATATGAACAATTACCAATGAAACCATTTGAAACTGAAACAATTGAATAAAATTTTGTACTAATCGATGCGAATTTAGGTGATACTTGAGGCAGATCATTAGTATTAATTGATTGTGGTGGTTGATTATGTCGTTGTTGCTGATAATTTGACATTTTCATTGGAATACGATTTGTTCAAGTTTTATCGAAACAAATATCAATTTTCCTCAAAGTTTTCCAAAAACTGAAATCTAGCATTTAATGTAAGACATTTAAATTGAATAAAACTAAATAATTGAAAAATGGAATAAATAATAAAAGCATTCGACAGATTTAATCGTTTCTCTTGTAAAATATTCACCAATCAGGGCATTTAAATGATAATCATTATATCGATTGTATTGAAACAATATTTCAATTAGAAGGCAACTTTAAACGATCAACGAGAATGATCATCAACACAGCAATCTTGCCACTATTAGTTAAAACTGTACGAAAATTGTCAATTTCATGCTACTTGTGCCTTGACGAAAATTGCTCCTGGCTCACCATCTCAGGCTCGCAAGGTGATAGAAGCCAAAGCCGTTCCCGTAATCCACCTGTTGTCTTCAGAAATCGATTGAGTTAAAATACAAGCAAACATGGCTCTCGGTAACACCACTGGTGGTAGTGCTGATTGTCGTCATTCCTTATTGAACTACAGGGCTATTCAGCTACTTTCGCGGATGTTTTTCTGCGATTTTCTTAGCAACTAGAAGTCCCAAAGAATCGCGACTTGAGTCTTATGAGTTTGAGTGATATTCAATTGTCATATCAAAAGATCAAGGTCATTCAGGTTATCGGTAAAATAACGAGTTTCAAGGTCATCTGATAGACATTTTTTGATTTTCCACTTTGACCCAAAAATCATAAGAGCATGAAAACTTGACACCAGTGTTTGCACATATGTACTTTTTTATGGTAATGTCTATCAGATGACCTTGAAACTCGTTATTTTACCGATGACCTGAATGACCTTGATCTTTTGATATGACAATTGAATACAACTTATTGAGACCTCCTCTAATCTTTCGCTCATACGCATATCGGTTTGGACATTAAAAAACTTATGCAAGGGTTAAAACACATTTCCAAATTACGACCCACCATCTTTAAGTTTACCTATCCTATCAATAAATTTGTATTTCCTACCATTTTATTGTAAAGATTAATACAAGTCAAACATAGTAAAAATATTAATTAATAATAAATGTGTGTTTATTTAATGTTTAAGTTAGGAGAACTTTTCCTATTCAATTTAATTGATAATTCTGGAGAAATTCAGAATAATGCATCCAGAAAAAGTGAAACAAATATTATGCACCGATCTGACCCAATTTTTTAGGTGTAACTTTTTATTCTGATCAATCCGTTCGAGACAGCTCACCAAGAGCTTTCGATTGATATCTATTTCAAAAAATTCGGAAAAGTTCAGCAAAAAATCCTCATTTTGGCTATCCTCCTTTAATCAGTTCTCTTGTAAAAATATTCACCAATCAGGGCATTTAAATGATAATCATTATATCGATTGTATTAATATTCCTGCTGATGTCTGATATAACTTCAGAACTTTTGAAATTACAAACTGCAGTTAATTAATCGGAGTCATGGCTCATTCTTAGTTTTCACAATCAGCAGATTTTTAGATCAACATTTACTGAGTTTGATTCTGTTTGTCCATTTAATGGAAAATCTCTCATAAATCAACCAATAAGTAGATTCAAAAGTTCATCGCTATTCTGAAATCAAACTGAATGAAATGTTCAGAATTCTGAAGAATAATTAACGAAGCATCCACCAGGTGTCGCTGTAAATGTTCTGTCAAATTTTTTTTTTCTTTTATTTTTGTTTACCTTTTAATCATCGGTTTAAATTGTGATCAACAAATTACAATTTCTATGGATAAATTGTCCCTTTCCATTTGAATTTTACGTTTAATTAATTTATTCGGGTGTGGATGTTACCATATCTTCACTTTGTCTTATAGTCTTTTAAGTTTAGATTTTAAAAGGTAAGTGTTTATATTTGGAGTCTCTTTTTTGTGTCAACTGATTTTGCTAATCATTTTGAATTTGGGTTTGTTTTCTCTTCTTTTATTTAATTAATAGAATTTTTAAAAGCTCTATAATGTTTCATCTTACCTGAGGATTAATTATTGTTCGTTATGGCGGCACAACAAGGAAAAAGAAAACGTTCCCAACCCGTTGAAACAAATGGATCTACCAGCTCAGGTTTTAGTAGCTCATTTGGTTTACTTGATTGTTTAGAGGATCAAACAAATGAGTTTAAATGTCCAATTTGTTTTGAGATAATTGAAGATGCTCAAGTAACCGAATGTGGTCATACATTTTGTGCAAAGTGTATCTCTCAATCATTGGAGTCAAAGAATCGATGCCCTACCTGTAGTCATGAAATTGATAAAGTTTTTCCTAATTTTATGCTCAATGATATGATCACAAAGAAAAAGAAAAATATTCTTACCAAAAAGTGTAGTTCCAATCCAGAATCTTCCAAAGCTTTAGCTGAATGGCAACAATTGGTCGCAATTAAAGCAAATAGTCTGAATCAGAATGATATTGATCTCCTGTTGGTAGCATTAAAAGAAAAGAAGAAAGAATTTGAAAAATCATCCAAGGCCCTACAAACGGAACTACTTAGAGGTTTTCTCAATCAAGCTCGAAAATACAAACAAGAACAAATCGCCATCATGGTTAACGACTTAAAATAATTGAACAAGATGCTGCTAGATTACAAAAGACAACAGTCTCAACCATATCCATTAATCCAACCAATAACTCACCCAATGAAACAAGTGCAACTTCAAAATCGGATACTTCATCTGGTCAAAATCTTAATCAACAATCAACACCAAGTGAACTCAATAAATCGCGAATTAGATGTTCAATTGGTGATGAATTGAAAACCATAGACAAACACATTGAAAGTGGATCAATTAATTCAACGTTAACTAATAGATGGAGAAAAGTTCGACATCATTTTGAAGATTTACTCCAATGTTACCTTAATAGTCGTAAAAATGTTTTCGGTACATCAAATTTAGATGACGGATCTAAATCAGCTGATGAGCTTGAAGAATTTAGAGAAACACTAAATAAGATAACCTGTTGTAACAATTTAAAAACATTATCAACCCTTTGTTATACCAGTGATCCAATTAACGAGCCAAGTATCGTGTCGAGTATTGAATTTGATAAAGATAATGAAATTTTCGCCACCGCTGGTGTAACCAAAATAATCAAACTTTTGATTATTCAACGGTAATACAAGATTCGTTGACAATTAATTATCCAATTGCTGTGATGGAATGTAAATCAAAGATTAGTTGTGTCTCTTGGTCATCTTATTATAAAAGTTCAATGGCAACGAGTGATTATGAAGGTGCTGTCACAATTTGGGACGTTTTCACTAAGCAAAAGATCAATTGTTTCCAGGAGCACGAGAGACGCTGTTGGAGTGTCGATTTTAATAAAATTGATACTCATTTAATTACTTCTGGTTCCGATGATGGGACAGTTAAATTGTGGTCATTGAATATGGACTCATCGGTGGCCACGTTAAAAGCATCGGCCAACGTTTGTTGTGTCAAGTTTAATCCTCGATCTCGATATCATGTTGCTTTCGCTTCAGCTGATCATTGTGCTTATTATTATGATCTTCGTAATACTAAAACACCAGAGGCCGTTTTTAAAGATCATCGTAAAGCCGTTTCATATGTTCAATTTTTAAACTGGGACGAAATCATATCAGCATCAACTGACAGTCAATTGAAAATGTGGAACACGAATAGGAATCAATGTTTACGAACTTTCAAAGGACATTTGAATGAGAAAAATTTCGTGGGTCTGGCCACCGATGGAGATTATATATCATGTGGCAGTGAGAACAATTCCCTGTTTCTGTATTATAAAGGATTTTCTAAGCCAATTCTGATTTACTCTTTCGATTCTGATAAAGTTGTCCATCCTTTTCAACTCAAGGTAAAAAAGATCAATTGAATTTAAACATTTTCACCAATATTCTTATTGATATTTTTTTTTCTTCTAAATTCTTAGGACCGAGTTAAAAAAGATAATTACGTTTGTGACTTCGTTAGTGCAATTTGCTGGAAAGGCGGAGAAAATGTGATAATTGCTGCTAATAGTCAAGGAATCATAAAGGTAACTTTGATGATAAGAATCATTGGCTAATCCCTAGAACAGATTCGTAACAGGATCGACTTCATACTTCATATATATAATCTTTACAATTCAATGAACTAGTGATAAGAAAGTTATCCAACCTCTCAGTGTGATGGAATACTGTCTAAAAATAGTTTTATTCACTTGCAAGAACTTTTAGCTCAGGTGTACGAGAAAAAGACCTTAAATCACACTTTTCGCTTATCTCAAGTGCAAGCGAATTTTCAAATATGACAGCTTTGCTATAATAATTTTCTCTTTCTCTTTTCATTTACTATTATCTTATTTCAGGTCTTGGAGTTGGTATCGATCTGATTTGATTTTTACTATCGCCTTCATTTCCAACCACCAAATAAAATAATCAGTCGCCACAATGATATACTATTTACCTAAAATGTATCCAAAATCATGAAGCTTGACAGTTTTCTATTAAATAATACTGGAAACCAACATGAATTTAAGACGAGTTTCTGTTAAAAATTTATCGCATCTTTACGTGCGTTTTGAGTCATGTTCGACTTCCCTTGTAAGCAAAGATCACATGTAAAATTTTTGCTTTTCTTTTATTTTTGTTTAATTGCCTTTTAATTGTCGGTTTAAATTGTGATCAATCGTACAAAATTAATTTTAATTAGCAAATGTTGGAATTGCAATAATAACCGTGAAAACAATAGTGACCAACGAAGATATAAACTCAGGTGTAATCATGAATAAACCACCACAAGAAAAGCCAAGATCCTTTCTATCAATACGATTGGCAAACAATGTAACCTAATTGAACGACAATTAATTGTTGTAAAAATTGATCACCATTAACTTACCTCATTTGATATTTCGTATGATTTGATAACTTTACTATCAAATAGCAATGAGTAAATGTGTGAATATGATTGAATGGATAGTAAATGAGCTTCAACAATTGGATAAATAATATAAATTGTTTTCACCAATGTAGAGAAAATACTAATTATGAAATAATATCGGCCAATGGTGACACTTGTTTGACGATTAACGAAAATATTAAAATAAATATTCATCGTTAAATAGTAAGTACAAGCAAAGAAGACTCCAAATAAACATGGATCCATGAATATCCTTAATTTAGTCACTAAATTGTAACACTCATTAAACTTCAAGCGAATTGACTTGATCCGATCAAATAAGTTATGGTCGTTTAAATGATTATCAATTGATGAGATTTGATTGTTGATGAAATGGTAAACTGTTTGAGCGATTAACGAACAATCAATGATAATCAATTCTTGCAAAAAAACGTTGACTTTTACGATAAGTCTTCTAATGGATCGAAATAATAAATTAATCCGATTTCCAATAGTTTATTTGATTCCGTTGTTGCTGTTAAATTATCATGGAACCCGAAAATTTTTAAAAAATCATCATTATTTGTATAATAAGTTGAAAACAAAACGATATCATTTATTATTATGATGGAATTGACAATAATTATAATCAGTTGGTAAATTTTACGTTGGTGATTAAAATAGTCAACAAATTCGTGATCAATGTTCAATTTAATCCATTGAGAGTTAATTGTTGAGATAAATTGTCGAGTGAAATAGAAATGAAATATTGTAAATGAGTAAATTTCAATGAAAATAAATATAAACTGCGAAAGGTTCAACGTTAATTGTGGTTCCATTGTTGATTGATCAAATTTCAAAGTTATTCTCAAATAAATTCCAGTATATATCACCATGATTAGAAACAAACTGTTACCAATTAAACCATTTGAAACTGAAACTATTGAATAATATTTTACACTTATTGATGTGAAATTTACTTCAGGTGGGTTAGTTAATTGTGCTGATTGAATATCGTTATTAGATTGTTGCTGTTGAAAACTTATCATTTTTAACCATTTACAATTTATCACAACTTAAACTGAGCTAAAAATTTCACATTCAATTTTAGTATTGATCGCAATTAAAAAACTTCTAAAAATTTAACTTTCAATATTCAATCAAATTATTAATACAAAAGTTTCAGCTCGATTGAATAATTTACTGATTATGTTCAATTGCTAATGATCCTCATATTGATCATCGATTTCTTGATTTAATCCCATAAGATGAAAGTACATGTACAGGGCATTTCAACAAGTTTCCAACAAGTTTTTCTTGAATAGCTTTTTTGTTTTTAAATGTTCAGATTACAGAACTCGAGCTGTAATAGTTTAGGCGATACTCAATTGTCATATTAAAATATCAAGGTCATTCTGTTATTCTGACCATCAAATGACCTTGAGACCGTATCCTAACAGAATGACCGGAATGACCTTGACATTTAATAGTTTTAAGTGGCAAATCACCAAGACAATTATATTTTTATTCTCAAATTTTGATTGATCAATAAACAATTGAAGCTCAAGAAAATGTAGAAATAATTATTCTGATTAAAAATATCATTTTCTAATATTTAATTCATTTGCATTTATTAATTCTCAATAGTGGTGATCATGTACCCATAGACTGGAATCTACTAAAAACAAATGTAAATCGTGTGAAGGGTCTTGGAGCGCCGGATTATGATATGGGTAGCATTCAAAGACACTACAAATTGGTATCAAGTATCTATGATGAAGCGTGCAGTCGTGAATGGAGTTCGTATTACGAACTTCGTAACCTAACCTAATTCGTAAACTAACCAAATTGACGAGATCCATTTAATATTGCGATAGTAACAGTTTATTAATTTTCTATATCACAATGATTCTCTTAAGCAAAGGAAATCAGAAGAAACCGTAAGCCGAATTGCGATCAATTTGATCAATTCAAAATTTACTTTAAAAGAAGTTCTGAAAAAATTTGATAAAATCAAAGCACCAAAGATACTTTACTAGCACATATAAATGTTGATAGAAGACGCTGTAGGAAATAGCAAATTGGAAAAAAGAGCAGGAAACTCATGTAGCTCAAAATTCAGCTGATAACCAGTGTGTTTCGAATCCTGAAACAGAGTGTCCGAATTTTTACAGTACAGTTCAACAGTAGTTTTCGAGTTTTTATATTTTCGGTTTTAAATGGCGTTTTTGAATATAGTTTTTAAAGAAGTTGTTTCACTTCAAAGATCATCTTATACTGTATTTAGAGATTTTTCAAGGTGAAACAAGGTGAAAAACATGAGAAAACTTTGAGTAAAAAAGTTTTACTAAAACTTCTAAAGTCATTTAGAACAAAGTCTATTCTCAGGGCAGTTGCTCGATCAAGCGATTATCTAAAAAGCAAATGCTCTTCTAATAGCGAATAAGCTATTTACACGAAGTTCCATCATTTTAGTTTCTCATTTTGTGAGAATAGTTTTTGTTAATTTTGTTTGTATTCTAATTCCAATTATTTATTTAATCCAATTATTGTTCTAAATCAATGAATTCTTTTTTAATATTTATATCTTGTCCTTTTCTTAAACGAGATTATCTTCAGTCAATTTGATTGAAATTTTGATCTACACTTTTGATAAATCAAAACAACCAAAAAAAAATGGATCTTGGGTTTGGTGTTAACTATGATGCTGATGATGATGAGCCAATTGATGAATCACAGATTGTTGATCAATTAACTGCACAGTTGAGTAGAAATCTTCTTGGACCATCTACATCTTTACCTGTTAGTTCAACGGAAGATCAGTTATTAAGATGTCGATTGGAAAGGTATGAAGATGAAGAGATGAGACAATTAGAGGAAGATCGTCTGCAAGAGATTATCCGTTTATGTCAATCTTACAATGAATCACAAGAAGGTAAAAGAGTAAGAAGTTTACGAGTTAATGAGGTTGATCATCTATTAGAATTAATGAAAAACCTGATGTTGTACAAACAACTAATTCTTCAACACCAACACCTCCACTGACAACAACAACAACAACAAAAACAATCAACAGTAACAGTTTGGTTTCATCAAGGATGGAAACAAATTCTAGAAATAATCATAGTGTCGTTGGATCTTCTTATCCTACTACTGTCAGCGAGATGACAAATTTCACCACTAATCAGTCTAATAAACCAGTGAATATCAGTGAAATTAATGAAAGCGATTATTATCAAGTGGAAAATGACAGTGGATATAATACCAATGGTGTTCCAATTGGAGTTGAAGACAATGGTGACAGTGAATTGAATGGTAATAAACTGACCGCTTTATCTATTGAGAAAAGCTTGATACGAAATGAGATTGATGACATGAAGCTCCAACAATTTAGCGATGCCGAAGATGAAGAGTTAAAAGAGTTCCAAAGGATTGAAAAAGAGATCAAATTAAACGAATTGTATAAATGCTTGGAAACCATTGAGAAAGAAATCGTCACAATTAAACAATACCAATTACAAGAACAACAACAACAACAACAACATTCACCATCGTTATTAGTTTCCAAAAGTGATCAGGAATTTTCGTTTGAAGATAAACATGATCAGAGTGAAAATACTCTCGGTGGTGGTGGAGAAGGTCAAAGTAGCAGTGGAAGTGGAAGTGGCAGTAAAGAAGCTCCTTTGGCCTCTTTTGAATCAGACGAATCAACCTCTTCATCGGATGAAGATATTTCTTTAGGTGATAAGGTTAAATCAACTGATTTCTCTCGATTGTCTCATTATCATTCTCAGCAACATTTAGATAAATATCATACTTATTCAACCATTTACAGTCCAACAAGTGAAACAAACAGTGAATTTCTTGGCTCTTCCAGTTCTCAGGCCTACAACAATTCAAGAGATATTAATCAACGTGAAAATATTTACAAGCCTAATAAACTTAGAGGAAAATCAAAAAACAATGGAGACGAAATCGATTCCATGAAAGAGAGACAACAACGTCCATTAACAATTTATCTTCCATCAACACTTAACGATTTAGATCTGGTTGATCGTATTGTCAATTTGGGTCATGATGTGGAAACGTTTAGCCATCTAGTTCAACTTACACCGACTTCCTGTTCAGGTTACCTTTGGAAATTATGTTCGGGCACCGAAAATCAATGGAGGAAACGATATTTTCTATTCAACCGACAAAACAAAGTTTTCGTCTATTTCAAGTCATTTAAAGGTTTCGTTAAAGGGAAAAAGGCCAAATATGGTGTTTACTTTAATCAAATCGAAGATGCTTATGTTGACCATAATCGAACCAAATTAGAGAAAAAGAGTAAACCACTTGGCGGATCACTTAGAAGACGAAGTAATTCAACTCGACATGTTTTCGTAATTGTCACATCGGAAAGAAACTTTACTCTTTCCTCTTCCATTCCAGAGGTGATGCGAATCTGGATCGATGTTATTTTCACCGGAGCTGAAGGTTATCTTAGCTTTGAACATTGACAATATTCGTCCTCCCCAAACAATCAAATGCCTTTACAATTTAACTTGCAATTATAATTCTAAAAATCACCGTCAAGTGTATAAGAGTAAGAGAGAAAAACAAATCTAATCCATTCGAAGTTTTTTTTTCTTCTCTCTTACAATTTAACATTACAAAATCTCCAAAGAAATTACAATTTTTAGATTATTTTAATGAATCTTTCTCTCTTTTTGTATCTTATAAATCAGTTGATGAAAATATAGTGTATATGAGATGGAAACAATTTTTACACAGTCAATCTTTTCCATTGAAATTGATAAACAAATAGAAAAAAAACCAGCACAAAACAAACAAACGAATTTAAATTAAATAAAAGAAAGTTTTCACAATCTACAATTAACTATTTGGATAATTATAATGTTGGAAATCAATTAACTTTTCTTTTCTTCCTTTTCTCGTCCAAATCGATTCCTTTTACTTCAGCCAATTCAAGTTCCTCTTTCTCAACTGCGATCTCAGCGTCTTTCAGGGCAAAAGTGACCTGCTTCAATATCTCGTTACAATGTTCTTCGTCGATTCCATCTTCTTGTTCCATTCGAATACCAATAAACGTTTCTATGTTTTTCAACAATTTAATATCATATTGACTGATCAATGTAATTGCTTTTCCAAGGAATTTGTGTTTCTTTTTAACTGCTCGAGGCGTTAATGCGTTTTTCGTGTCGATTGGAGTCTCAGTCGAAGTTGATGGTTGTTCATCATCTTCCACAGCTAAAGATTGTTCCATTAATTCGGGAACAGGTAAACTAATTGATTGAGATAAATGAGGTTTTCGACAAGTTCGACCAACTCTATGGACATAGCTAACAGCAGATTTTGGGCAATCATAGTTGATAATTAAATCGACCAAAGGTAAATCAAGACCTCGACTTGCAAGATCCGTTGTTACCAATATACGAGATTTAAGTGATTTAAATTTATCGATTGCAGCAAATCGTAAGGATTGTTTAAGATCAGCATTTAATAGAACTGGATTTAAGTTGAAATCTTTACCAGCAAATCCAAGGGTTATCAAAATTTTATGGATCAATTTAGCTTCTCGTTTGGTTGCACAGAAAATGATTAACTGTTTAAAATCTAAATCCAAAAGGGTTTCCACTAAAAACGCTGCTTTAACATTAGATGGACACAGGTAATACCTTTGATCAAGGTAAGGGTTGGTTGATAATTCCTTTTTGATTGAGTCAATTGTTGGTAGTAAATCAATAACGATTGGTTGACGATCTTCATCTTTTTCTGCTAAAACTTGTTTCAATTTTTCCAATGCCGGTGTTAATGAAGCGCTTAACACTACTGTTTGTCGTCGTTGATTACCAGACTCTTTTGAATCAATCCAATCGAGAAGATTTTTCAATTGTAAACAAAATCCTGGAGTAATCAGTTGATCACCTTCATCCATAACTAAAATCTCAAATTTGAAGCTACGTTTGGATCCACAAACATCTAGATAGTTACGGTTTATTATTTGGTCCAAAAATCTACCAGGAGTTGCAACAATAATATTTGGTTTACCTAACCAAAGACCTGAGATAAATTATGAGAGAAGCAAACAAAAAAGGTTAATTAAAGTGAAATTTAATAAATTTTGTTGAGAAAAATTGATCAATACCTTGAACATCTTCACTGTCATTTTCAACACCATAATTTCCTCCACCGATAATTAGTAAACTTGTAACCAAAGCGTTAGCGGTTTTACTCTTAGGTCCAGCTAACACTTTTATAACATCGTGGATCTGATGAGCCAATTCTCGAGTTGGTGCCAAAATCAGAGCAAAATATGGCCTTGGATCAACCACAAGTCGTTCCAATATCGGAAGTACATAAGCCAAAGTTTTACCAGTACCCGTTTGCGAGCAACCAAAGACATTACGTCTTTCCCTTAACAACACAGGAATCACAGATTTTTGAATAGCCGAAGGCTTAGTAATACCAAGAGAACTAAGTCTCTTAACAAGCCAATCACTTAAACCAAGTGATCGAAACTCAGACATCTCCAAAAGTCCAATTCAAAACACCAACACCAACGACACAAACAATCAAACAAACTTCAATTATAACTCAAATTCAATTATAAAAAATTTTCTCGCAATAAACAAAAGACGATCCTTGATATGTTCCAATTGAAATCGTAATTTAAATGCAAACACCACAAACAGTTGATTCAATTGTTTCTTAATCACTCAACTTTAAATCACCTCAACAATTAAATCAACAATTAAAGGGAAACATAAACACAGAGATTTAACCTCATGTTGTTTTGAAATTTTCTTCAAAAAGACAAACATGTGATTCGATGTATCGATTCAACATGTTCTCATATCGATATTGAGTCAACATCTTTTTGAACACAAAAAGTGAAGGAATTTAATTTAATCAATCAAATGAACGGTTTTCCTTTACAATTAAATGAATTTCACAATTAATCATGGCGATCTTATTAATACGAAGTTAATTGTATCAAGTTAACCTGAATTCTATTGTACAATGTCTCAAAATGGTTTCCCCAAAGTGAATGTTATTTTTTTCCTCAACAGTTTCATAAAATCCTTACTTGATATTCATTGATTATTTTTCTTTCTTCATCCTTAATCATTTTTATTATTATTAGAAATTAATTATATTTTTGTTCCAATTGAAACGTCTAACATCATCTCATTGAATTCTCTATTAAAAAGTAAGTTACTATTCTACAATGATGGATTGGAGATACTAGAATCTCTTTGAATCTCTTCACCTTGATTTTGATGTTTTCCTCCAATTTCTCATCATTTTTGACTAATTTTTTCTTCTTTTTCTTTTTGTTTTCTTTCCTCAGTGGTTGCAAAATGTTGTCTTGTATCTTGTAAACGTCCGACAGCACCTGATCGAACATTATTCAGATTCCCATTGGACAGGGCGAAACGCTTAGTTTGGTTTGAGGCGATTAATTCAGATCTACCTGAAGATGTCACCGTTGATTGTTTGAATAATAAGTATGTTTGTGATGTTCACTTTCCATCAATAATGTATGCCACCTCTGGGAATCGAAAGCGTCTTTTCTGTAATGCCTGTCCCTCTGAAGCGATTGCAAAATTACCTCGAATGCCGGAGAGTGTAATATTGGATGAAAATAAGAAATCGGTTGGAACTCAAGTTCATTTTGCCTCAAAAGAGAGAGAGATTATCTCTTTAAAGAAAAAGCTTGCACAATTAACTGCACGAATGGATAAATTAAAAGCTGATCCACCAACATCACTAATCTACAAGAATCGACATAAACTCGCTAAATTTGTCACAGATGAAGCTTGGCTTCTCTTTGATTGTGCAGTACAAAATCAACAAAAGGGTATTCATGGTCATCGTCACACTATGGATGTAAAAAAATTGACCCAATCAATTGCCCAGAAAAACAGGATGGCCTTTAAAATGCTTAAGCCGATCTTCAGTCTCCCTTCACTGCGAACCCTGGGCAGAATGGAAGCCGAAGAAAATTTAACTCTGACCACCAACACCACCGAAAACATAACCACCAGTAACTCGAATCAGCTGATTGATAATTCGAGTCAACCACAAATCGAGGAAAGTTCAAGTGCCGATCATCTCCAAATGGATCAAACATCTCACACGGAAAATATCACAATTGAAGATCCTCACATAGGAAATATCACATTTGTTAGTGTTCCTTATCCACTCTAATCCTTAATTGTTTCAACAATCAAAGCCAAAAAGAAAAACTAATCTCCAATTAACTAATATTTTCCTTCATCAAATTTACAGAATTATATTTGTCACGATCAGATTTATTTCGTTTTCTTTTGTATCTTGTAACACATTCATATTATTATCAAAGAAAAATTTATTAAATTAATCTTTCAATTCCAATATCATTTAGATTTTTTTTCTCTCTCATTAATCATTCTAATCATTACAAATATAAATATCATAAAATTGTTTTTTTCTGATGAACAATTTCAAATTAATCACAAAAGTAATTTGGTCAACACAATATTAAAAAACTAATATAAATATAACTAATATCTTAATAACTTCTTGATTGTAAAATATAAAAAGATGAATATAACGAAATTAGTTGATTTAACATTGTTTGATTCCTCTGATTGTGGTTGGTTGGTTTTTGTCAGACAATTTAACTTAATAGTATCACATAAAAGTTAATTGTTCAAACAATTTAAAGCTTTTGAATGAGCATAGCTGATGCACCGCCACCTCCATTACACACACCGGCTAATCCATATTCACCTGAGGCAAGATTAACAGCTAGAGTACCAACGATTCGAGCACCGGACATTCTGGAAAGAAAGTGAAAAGATCAAATAAAACAATTAAATTCGATTCCAATTAAATGTCCAAAACAATAGTTACTTACCCAAGAGGATGACCAAGACCAACAGCACCTCCGTTGACATTTACTTTACTGTTATCCAATCCCAATTCTTTCAGGTTCGCTAAGGCAACAGCGCTAAAGGCCTCGTTAATTTCAAATTGAGCGACTTGATCTTTACTGATTCCTGCTCTTTCCAATGCCTAATCAAAAGGAATGTTAAAATGTTAGAAAATCACTCAAGATCAGAATTAGTAAAAAATTTGATCTAATAAGAGTAAATCAACTCTTCGATCTTCCAACCCTTAATTATCGTTAAGCTTAAGAAATGAGCTCACGGACTCAATGGTTGGGGAAAATGAATGATAGAATTGATCAATTAAATTACCTTTGGCATCGCATGAGCTGGAGCAATACCGAAGTCAATTGGAGCAACAGCAGCATCGGCAAAGGAGACAATTTTAGCCAAAGGTTTAACACCAAACTTGGCGACGGCTTTTGATGACATAAGGACAAGAGCAGCGGCTCCATCGTTAAGAGAGCTGGCATTGGCTGCAGTTATGGTTCCGGTGCCTTTGATAAACACTGGATTCAAGGTCAACAATCGGTCAAAATCAATCTTTTCCGGTTCCTCATCTTTTTCCACAAGGGTGGCAGGTTTACCTCGTTTACCAGGTATAGAAACACTGACAATTTCCTTGGCAAAAACACCATCGGTGATTGATTTAAGGCATCGAGTGTAACTTGTTTTCGCATATTCATCTTGTTGTCCTCGAGTAATCTCATATTTAGCTGCGAGTTGCTCTGCACATTGACCCATATGACAATTATTAAAGGTGTCAGTTAAACCATCGTTAACCACAACATCGACCAATGATAAACCACCATACGGTATTTCACCTCGAGGCACAACGAAAGGGGCATTGGACATACTTTCCATCCCGCCGGCAACGATAACATCACCATTACCAAGAGCTAAACTTTGAGAGGCAAAAGCAATCGCTTTCATACCCGAAGCACAGACTTTGTTTACAACCGTACAAGGGACTTTCTGAGATAGTCCAGCTCCGATTGCCGCTTGTCTACCGGGAGTCTGACCGCAACCAGCTTGTAAAACTTGGCCTAGAATAACTTCATCAACATCATCAACCGAAATTCCTAAACAAAATCAATGAGGAAAAAAAGTAAACAGCTAATGTAAAAAAACGAAAACTTTGGAAAAGGTAAATATTAAAGTCTACATACCGGCGCGATTAACGGCCTCCTTAATGGCGATCGATTGTAATTTGGTTGCTGAAAGTGAACTTAAAGATCCTCTAAATGACCCAATCGGGGTTCTAGCATAAGAGACGATGTAAACACCCTGAAAAGTGTCACCAAAAAAAAGGTCAAATGTTAGATTTTTGGGATAGAAAATTTCAAAAGTAAAGAAAATTAAGAAATCTAAATGATCTACTTACCTCGACCTGAGCCATGGTTATTATTCAATGGATGAGAGAATAGATGCAAATGATTCACAATCGATTAGAAATTACTAGTTAATTAGAACGATTGTTGTGGTGATTATGTGATAATAAGAAAATTGTATCAAGATGAAAAATGGTCAACAGAATAAGTGAGAAAAAGAAACAAGGATGTAACTGGTTTTAAGGAAATAGTTTGATTTCTGGTTTCCTCAAGTGATTTAACTTGATCATCAACTAATTCTCAGCCCAATGATTAGTTCCTTTATCTGGGAGATCATTTGCATTTATCGGACCATTATCATCATCTTCTTCTTTCTTGAAAATACCTTCAGGGTCCAAAGGGAGGGCAAAGAGGAGAGAAACCAAGATGGAGAGAGGAAGAGAGAGAGATAAATAAAGAGATACAGGTAACGGGTCTTGAGAGTAAACCGGGTTAGTTGATTCGCATATTCATCAGAACAGTTAAATCAATAGATGACGATGGTGATGATGATCATGTGAATGATGGAGAAGAGGAAAAATCATCTTAAAAGCCAAAGTGAAGAGAAGAAGAAAAAAAATCACCAAGGTGAAAGGAGGAAAACAAAAAGCATGGTGAGTGAATGGAAAACATTGAAAAAGGTTCAATCAAACTCTACTTGATTGGAGATAAATAAAATCCATTTAATTGATTGTTTAACTTTCTAAGTATCATCTTGAACATGTTAACTTGTTGAGTAATTAAATTAATTACTAGTACTAAATTGTAGAGACAAAGATAATACGAAAAGAGTAACTAATGAGGAAAAACGTGTTGAATGGTTTTTAAGAGGAAATATAAGATTCCCTCAATGGCAATTTCTATGGTAACTCAACAATCGATCAATTGATTTGTTAATTTAAATTCAATTGTAGAAGGAAAAAAATTTGATTTAAAGAAAAAATTAGTTTCACTTACATTAATCACCTGGAATTGATTCAATTTACAATTTAAACTCCAATGTTTGTGTTTCCATTTCGAGAATAATAATTAACCATCGCTATTAAGGTTATCGATTAAATCTCCAAGTCTTTTATGTTTCGAGTTGATTAATGAGAAGGTTTAATTTCCGGGAAATTAAAACAACTTGAGGATTATTTAAATTGTATCAACAGTCGATTACAATCTAATACTAATTAGATCAATTCTCCATCCTTTTTGTCATCTGTGTTCACCTAAATTCTTTAAGTGATCTAATTTCATTTAGAAATTAAATTATCCTCCAAATCCATGGAACCAATTGATTAGAATGTGATTTAATAACCAGAGACGAATCATAATAATTCAACACCGAAATGATTAACATTTGAACGATTGGCCGAAAATAATTCCAATAGAAATTAAATTAAATGTCTAAATAGTAAAAAGAGAATAGAAAAAAAAATTCCAATATGTAAACATAATTAGAGATTAGAAAACAAAACAAAATGATAAATCAATATTTTCGTGAATTGTAGTCACTAAATCATAGAGAATTAATTGTAACTGTGATTCTTACACAAGAAATGAATTGTCAGAGAAACAACAACAAACCAACAGGAATAGAAAACAAAATGAGAGAGAAAACAAATGCTCACTCAATTCAATTTTCTTAGCAACCATAATATGAATCGCTATTTATTTCTTGTTGGTGATTAATTGTGACTTTCTACTGGAATCTAATTAATTGATTTCTTTCAATTCCCGATTAATTATTCGATGATTCGTGTTCTCCATTCCTAGGAAATCCGATGTTGTTTCTCTATTGCTGTTCGGGTTTCAATCGGATTAACTTTTAGGTTTGTATAATTTTCTTCTTGTTAAATTCTGGTTGATCTGGAATAGCATTTGCAACAATCAATTCACTTTTTCCTGAACGAAAATATAAGCAAAAACTTGCCGATTGTTACTGAAAATTTATTTTTTTATATACATTTAGTATATTATTGCTTTTGTTTTCCATTAATTGCATCTGATGAGAGAGTTATAACTGCAAGAAGAATACTGTTGACACTTTCGATTGTACCAAAGAAATAAGTTAAGATTGAAAGCGATTTGAGTCAAGGATTATTCGGGTTGAATGAAATTTTAGATCTTTACGTTCATCAGTTTCATGTAGATGACAATGGCAATTATAGCTAACTCCATGAAGCCTTCCACTTCCACTGATTATTTCTAGATGAAGGGCAAGAAAAAGATGACAAAAATCTTAATTTCAAAGTAAAAGAAATCAATTTAACGTGAATACAACCGGACATACCTGACTATACATTAGAAAATAGAGGTCCCATAGTTTAAACTTTTCTTTGATTTAAATCCTTGAATTGAAACAATTTTTTGACTAAATAATCTCTATCAATATCCCTCGCCATAGTTACATTAATTGTAAAAATTGTAAAAAAGATCAATATACATGAACCATTCCATAGAGAAAGGTCCAAAAAAGGACATAAGTAAAAAGACCAGATCCTAGGCCATTGGTGAAAATAATTGTTCTCTTGTGGAAATATCTCTTATAATCGGGACCAATTCTTAATAAGATCAATGCCCATAGTAGGAATGCACAAAGAAAGTAAAAAATGAAACCATAAAGTCCATATAAACCAATTACACCCGCAGTGAACCCTGAGATTGCCGACATTGAGGTTTTAAAATATTCCAAAATAACCATGTTGGTTCTCATGGCACCGGTAAGGGTGAATGAATTCTCCTCCTGAAAAGTAAACAACACAATATAGAAAATCAATACAATAGTAAACCAACAATAATAAACCTATGAAAATCAATGAATTTTACGAACATAATACAAAAACAAATAATAATAAACAAAAATATTCACATCTAATTGCAAGGCAACAAGAGAAATATTAATGAAAGGGAAAGTACATTGAAAAGAAAACCAATAAAAGAAGAGAATGTGAAAACGAGTAAACTTACCATGATTACTATGATTTAAATAGATGATTCAGAACACTAATTAAATTCCGAAGTCTATCAAGATGAAATATTTGTGGAAAAAAAAGAAATTCTCTAATTAATTAATAGAATTGGGAAAATAAACAATCAACAAACTGAGAGAAAATTGTTTTGTTTTTTTTTCTCTTTTCTGAAAAGGAAAAGAATTTGATTGATGCGACATCTTGTGTCAAGTGAAAGAACTTTCCGAGTGAGTTTTTGGTTATTCAGAATTTATTTTCTCTCCTGGTTAATGATTAAAACCGAATTAAATTAAATTAGTTTATATTTTTTTCCAGTGATTAAGATTTAACCGGCAACATCTTAGTTATGATCGCACTGGTTTGGCTTAAGTTAGCGGTAAAGTTGAAACCTAAATTACTGAGCTAATTAATGTAACTAATTAACTAATTGTTTGGTTTGTTTTATTTTGTTAGTTTTGATTAGTGTGATCATAATTAAGATGTTACCTAGAGGTTTTATAACCTCTCGAGGTGTATTTTCATTTTTCAGTTCAAATAAATACAATTAAACCAATTAACTATGGATATTGTAAGTAATTCTACCAATTGATTTGTATTCTTCCAACTTGTGATTCGATTCAAATAAGATTACTGCTTTTCTCAGTTGATTTGCTTACTCACGATATTAAATTGAGAGAAATTGTTAATTGTTACCATCTATTAATCACTGTAATTAAGGCCACAGTTAACACCTTTCATTGTTTTTCTTTTAAGATATTCTGTGTGATAACATTTAATGATAAACATAAATGTTATAAGAAATATTGGTTGGAGACTCCAACTTGGAGTAAACGATCAGCTGAATATTAGATTACCTTTTATTTTTTGTATTCATCATTTTTTCACTTATTTTGTTGGTTATTTTATTTGAATTGATCTATTTGAGTATTTTTTTTTCTTTCATCATTTGTAACCAGTTAACATTTTCTCATGTTCTCTCTTTTTCTATCCACCTGATTTAAGATCTTCTATCAACAAAAACATATCTCATAAATTTCTGTCATTTGGTCGCTCATGTTATTAAACTAAATTAAGTGATGTGATTCGAAGAAAAATGGACCTGATAAGTGACTCAATTTGCGTAATCAATTTATTGTTCAAATCTAAAGTATTCCCAAGGATCTTGGAGTTTAATTAGAATCTACAGTTATTCAGTAATCCTTTTTTGTAGGATAAACAAATATGAACATTGTCAGGAAATCAGGAACCAAGACCAATGATAACATGAGACCTCTATCTGTGGGTGAACTTTGTGCCATGGAAAAGTGTCCCCGCCCTTATTATCAATTGGTAATCGGATTGTATGGTTAAGTGACAATGGTCCAGAATTTGGTTATATCAAATGGCTTGGTAAGCTACCCGATGTGGGCTCAGATTGGATGGCTTGAGTTCATTTTGATAATCCTGTTGGTTCTGGGACAGGAATTTACAATGATTATCAACTTTTCGAGGCTCCTGTTTATCATGCATCTCTAGTGCCAGTGATTGGGTTACTCAGAGCAGAAGATTTTCTTGGTGGTGGTCCATCATCATCATCAGCCGATAATCATCACCTTGTGTCCACTTTAAAATCCTTACCTTCTTCATCTATGGCTGGAATTAGTGACCTTCCCTTCAAACCAAGACGTTCTTAACGTCCAAAACTCTTTAATATTATTCTCGTTGTGAGTTAATTGTGGACAATTGAGATTATCAGTTTTTTTTGTTTTCTTGCCCTAAACAATTGAAAGTGAGAAATGTTTAATTATTATAAGCATACAAAAATTATTATCAATTCAAATCATCAAATTAACTAATACAATGATTAAAACCATAAATTATTTTTTTTGCAAAATTACAAAACTATCACCAATCAATAAGGTTTAATGTACTCGATGGATTAATTCAAGATTGATACAATGATATTATAATGCTCAGAGTAAAATTATTACAGAAAATTTTCTGGGTCAATTTTTAAACTGCTCATATTTAATACACAGTCGGAAAAAATGAGTTTGAAGGTAGTTTTAAATCATTCGTGTAGATAAAATGATAACATCAATTTATCAATCAAATTGTTGTTAAATTTGAATCTTGTGAATATCCGATTATTGATAAATTATCATCACTCTTTCTACGCAAATAATTTTAAATTATCATCAAACTCATTTTCTCTGACTGCGTAATAAGATTATTAGTCTAGCTTTTTAATAATAATAAAAATTAGATTTTGGATTGATTACGAGCCTTAAAAGCACCAAGAACGTTATTAGCAAGACCAAGTTATCCACCAGCACCAGCACCAGTACCAAGACCAAGACCCTGACCAAGACCCTGACCAGCACCATCACTGCCAAGAACACCATCAATAGATGCGATGAGCACCATGAAAATACAGAACAAGTAAAAACTGAAACTCAGACTTGAATTGAGACCCATGGTTTTTTTTGTATCAAACAATTTAAATTTTAACTGTTGAAACGACTTATCACTAATTAAGTTGGAAATTTAATTCAACTGTGATCTTTTTACCCAATTATTTTACCTTTTATAAGATTTCTCTCATTACCAGTTTGTTGTTTTCAATAAAGTTACCTGAATAAACTCAACAACAAATCCATCTACGTAGATATAAACTGTTGATTTAATAGAAACTAAACTCTCATAATTACAGGGTGTTTTATTTGTTTTGTTCCTCTTTTCATTGTTGATTTTGTTTCTTTTTTTTCTTCTATTTTTATGTTCAATTGATTGTTCTTTCAAATTTCCTTCTAATTTAGTCCCAAATAATTAACTCTTTAATATTATTCTCGTTGTGAGTTAATTGTGGACAATTGAGATTATCAGTTTTTTTTGTTTTCTTGCCCTAAACAATTGAAAGTGAAAAATATTTAATTATTATAAGCATACAAAAATTATTATCAATTCAAATCATCAAATTAACTAATACAACGATTAAAACCATAAATTAATTATTTTTTTTGCAAAATTATAAAACTGTCACCAATCAATAAGGTTTAATGTACTCGATGGATTAATTAGATTACAATCAACTAATCAAGATATTTCAACAATCAGCCTAATTATCAGAAAATGAGGAAAACAGGAAAATCATCCGATACTTTAATTGTTGGTTAGTTAGTTGTTATCATAGAATCAGATGTTTTTCCTTTGTTTTTATCTGGAATCATAAATCACCATTGATAAGAAAAATATGATTTCCTTTATTCCAACGTAATTGTTTCACTTTATTCACCTTAATTAAACTTGATTGAACAGTTAATTCATTTTTCATAAGAATTAAAATTAATTTGATTTAATTTTCTTCTTCCATTGAAACAAATTCGCATCAAAATTTTCCCGCTTCTTCTTGTCTTTTGTTTTTCTCTCATCACAGGCACTTCAAAATTAAATTTGATGGGTGATTTGATTTGCTCTTTTACACGAAGACCTTAAAATGACCTTTGAACGCTACCTGCGGGAAATGACCTCAATGACCTTGAAAATCGTAGGGTCAAGCGCTTCAATTCTGTTCAGTCCTCTGGCCAAGTCTGACATTCATATGACTTTTAGTTCTGGAGATATTCAGTGAAATAGCCGTAGTGGATAAAAAAAACGCCCTGTATATCAAGTCCTAGGTGGTTGTAAATCTTCGAGCCGTTGTTTTTCTAGTCAGGCCACGTTAGGGTTGAAGCCATTCTCCTGGATACATACTACGTAAAAGAGAGACACTATGCCATAAAAAATTCGCACGGCCGGCAGAGTCCAGTTGTTTTCACCGGACAACATGAACATGTTGTCCCGAAGAGCTTCCCAATTAATCGCCCCTGATGGGCGGTTAAGTACTAGCCTAATATATTGAACATGTTGTTTATTGAAAATCATTTTGTCGAATTTAACTTGATTGAACACAATATCCAGAAAATCACTAATATTAAAGGTGTTTATTTCTTTAGCTGGCGAAAAAGAAAATCAAAGTTCATCGGAAGAGTCATTCTCTACCTTTAACAAAGACAATCAAAGGACAAATGCTGCAGAACAAGTAAAACTATACTATTGTCAAAGATCTTGAGATATTACAGTTTAATTGAATAACTGTTGAAAATCTTCTATTCAATAATTTTATCGCAACGTTCAAAGCAAAGCTCATAGAAATCTAAAAACTTGTCAGTAGTATCTTTGAATATTCTTCTTCGTTAAATCTCCTTCAGATGACCTTGAAACGCGTTATTTTACCGATGACCTGAATGACCTTGATCTTTTGATATGACAAACAAGTATCGCTCAAACTCATAGCACTCAAGTCTCGTCTCTGTCTGACTCTTAGTTGCTGAGAAAATCGCAAAAAACATCGGTAAAAATAGGTGAATTGCTCTGTATTTTCATGTTCAATTAATTGTTCTTTCAAATTTTCTTCTAATTTAATCCCAAATTAACCCTAAACAAGTGAAAGTGAGAAATATTTAATTATTAATATTATAATTATACAAAAATTATTATCAATTCAAATCATCAAATTAACTAATATGATTAAAACAATAAAATTAATTATTTTTTTTGCAAAATTACAAAACTGTCACCAATCAATAAGGTTTAATGGATTCGATGGATTATAACAATGGAAGATAACAATCAACTAATCAAGATAATTCAACAATCTGACTAATTATCAGAAATGAGGAGAGCAAGAAAATGATCCGATACTTTAATTGTTGGTTAGTTAGTTGTTATCATAGAATCAGATGTTTTTCCTTTGTTTTTATCTGGAATCATAAATCACCATTGATAAGAAAAATATGATTTCCTTTATTCCAACGTAATTGTTTCACTTTATTCACCTTAATT